GTCGCCTGTCTATTTTTATCCCGCCAATGAGAGCTTACCATTTAGCGACTAGTGAGGTTAAAAAGTGTTGTCTATGCCTACATACAACATATATGGATGTGTCCAACTGATATCTTAAGTAAATACTAATTTCCTATTTCAAACAAAAATAATTTTCCCCGTTGCAGCTGTTTACGAAACAATATTTATTTATATTTACAAAAAAAATGTTATTTAAGATATTAAGCGATTATATTAAAAAAATTAAAACACCAAACAAAACAAAGAAAATTATAAATACACTTGTTCCTTGACCGCAGCAAGCCTTGTTGCAGCCTTGAAAAGGTTAACTTGAAAAACAACAAAACATTAAACGGGTCCGGTTGAACAGGGACGATGTAAAAAGTTTTTATGTCGGTGAGCGTTTATGTGTGCAGGTATTGTATATGTATAGTGCGTGTGTGTGTGGGGTGGCTGGCTCGTCGGCATTGCAAGGTGAGCTTGTCCCGGCGTATGCGCAGGATCTGACCTCATATCACGGCCATTGTCCTGACGCGTTTCGTGTGCGTTCAATGCATCTTAAAACCCGTTAAAGTTTTTTGTATAATTGTGGTATATTTTGGTTTCAAGCTCCGTTGGAATGGTAAAAAAGTATTAGTAAATAATCTGCATTTTATATTTATTTAACGTTTTAAATTTATCTATTTGTTTCTTAAGTAAAGCGTAAGTTTGCTGTAAAATAGTGATAATTCTGGCCAAAACTTTGTCCACATTTCACTTAATTTCTAATCGATACGCCCATATAAAAGATATCAACGGGAGTAAGTAACCTTATGTGAAACATGGACTTCTATATATTTTGTGTGTAATCCCAAAATTATATGTCTTATTCGAGGTTTACTGTTATAAGTTGACCGGCAATTATACTTAGCTAAGATGCTGCTAAGAACCAAATAGAAAACAGTAGCAAAGTAAGCTCGTAGCGAAAGTTGTTAGACAATGGGCAAGTAGACATAATGACAGGTGGCCGTGGGATGTGTGTCGACACTGACCGAATACTACTTAATTAACTTGTTTGTTTCTAAACATCCCATCAGGGAAAAGGTGTCGTTAAAGCTTTTTATAATTATATTGTTATTTCGCGATTAGAATAGATTTGAAAGGTGAGATTGTGGTCATTTTAAACTCTGAAATAAATGTATACAAAGATAATTTTCTGAAGTGTCCTCTCGAAATTGTTATCGGCTTTTACTTGTTGTTATTGTGATCGTAATTTCTTTTAGGTATTATGCCGCTGGCAGCTCCCTTGTCGAGATTTCTACGGCACCTCCTTTTTATTCTGACTGGCGGTTTTGGGGGGACACTAAAGATACTGACTGTGCTTTATATGTTTGCTCGTAATCGTATAAGTATGTTTAGTTGTAACTTGTAATGAACGCTTGCGACTTTCTTTGACTTTCCCATCGATAACTACAAGTCGATAGTTAACACGAGAAAAACCGATCGATGAACTCGAGTTGAAAGAACGTCTCGCTTCGTTGCCTGATCACTCGGGTTGCTGTTGTTTTTTTTACTAAGGGCTTTTATTCTCTTACGTTACGATACAAAATATAATCAAAGGCGTTCTATTTACGTAAATCTGTCGTGGGAATTCGATTAAAGTCATTGCGTCTCTCGATAAAAACTATCGATTGCTCGCAACTAAGTGTGACAGTAAAATTTTTGCCTTTTCGCTTGTTAATAAAGTATGTCAAATTGTTTTTACTTTGTGCTCTGTGCAATATTGACGAACGAACTGTGAAAATGAGAGTGAACTTTATGGAACAAAGATTTAATGTAACACTAATATTCAAATAGATTAAATTTCCGATGACGCAAACACAAATACACGTAAATCAACAATTGACAAAACAAAATAAATAAACTAACGTGAATCATGTAGGTATGTTCGTGTAAAAATTTCGTGATTCTTTTGCATGTTTTCTGTTTTTTTTTCTAACTGAAATCTGCATAGTATCACACACAGATCCCTTTTAAGATAAGAGTCACTTACGCCATAGTCGCTTCTTAGAGACAAGAGTGGTTAGGGTGTAACTATGTTTCTATTTTTATATGACTTTTTAACACATAAGTACATACTTCGTAATAAAGACTACTCAAAAGCGCAATTATGATAGTTCAAGCAACTTATTTCTCTGTTTAAATATTAATATGGTAAAGGTTTATAAGTATATATTTATGTATATATTAAACAGTTGAAAAAATATACATTTCTACATGTATGACAGATGCCAAAATATAGTCACGAATGCAGCCTACGTATGATTATAAAATGTTATTAAAATGTAAGTAACATCTGGTCAACCTATTCTTTGTACCTTCCACTCCAGTCCTAGGCACGTCGACCCCCTCCAACCCTTCCCCCGCCGTCAGTCATCATTGCAACCGGTTTGTTGAACCGTCACTAACACGATCCTAGATCGTGTGTCATTGCTCGTGAATACCAATACGCGGTACACGACTCCCAACTATGTTATGATCGGACCTCCTTGCTTGATATGTATGGTTTATTAAATGGATTTAATTTTCTTTGATCTTTTTTTAGAGAAACATGATATGCAGCAAATATGTTGAACGGAACTAAACTGAATGTAACCTTGAAAGATGTTAATATAAAATAGGAAAGAGCGGTTAGTAAGGAGGACTTGTCGAAATGCAAACCGTCCCATAATTTATAATACCTAATAATAACCTGTAACAATAATCTTATCTTACTTCTTACTAATATTATAAATGTGAAACTTTAGATGGATGGATAGATTGATGTTTGTTTGAAAGTATCTCCAGAACGACTGAAGGGATTTTGATGAAATTTGGGATACATGTAGAACATAGTCTGGAAGATAACATAGGCTACTTATTATGTTTTTTTTTAATTCCACGCAGTTTGGATCGCGGGCGACAGCTAGTTAATATATCCAATCATCGTCATCTAAGATTTCGATAGGAGGCTTGATAGCACTACAATATTTGTAAATGCAATATTCGCTCTAAATCTGTATAATTTATAGAAAAAAATACACTCTCATGATTACTCGGTGCTCTGGTTTATCTAATATCCTTTTTTATCATCTACCAGTTGCATTGAATTGCTTTTTAATTACTCTACTCTATTTACGTCAGTTAATTTTCCTGCGTTTAATGCACTCGTAAATGCGCATATGCATGGAATAATTAAAATGCGTTGAGACGGAAAACGGATGTTTCAAGAATATTATTTATTGCTTTACAAGATTTAAATACGTATAAGTAAACATAGGTAGCGCCAATAGTCTAATGGTTAAGGGTACGGATTTCCGAACACATCGACAGTTCGAATCCTTTTAATATCGTAAAGCATATCCTAGACTAGACCTTAGTTGGAATGGTACTAGAAATATAAATAATGAACAAAAATTTGCCAATAATTTACAATTCTCAATATGGTCAGATATTCTGTATAAGTCAAACGACCACTGAATTAGGTCTAAATATTACTTTATAACAAATGATATCAGGTTTTCTTAGCTTTTGTGTTTTGCTAAAAAATCACTTCGTAACAGCTTTTTGATATAAAAATGTATACTTTGTTCCTTTATCTCATTCACTGACGTACGTTTAGTAAATAAGTCTAAAGCACATAAAAGGGTAAACATGTATTACTTTACATCCTGTATCCACATACTTAGTTGACTTCCACATTCATACAACAGGTGTTATCTGGTTGTCGTTATAAAACATACTCATGATATGAGTAATATATCAAATTACGTGTGTATAGAAAGCAAATAATTTATTCAACGTAATGTCTGTACTTTCCTTACACTGTACTTTCTTTTCCACGTAAAGAACACGGCTAAAATAAAATTGATTTCTGTTAAGCAAACAAAATAAAACAATATGGTGGATTAATTCCGAAATAGATAATTAAAATTAGCAATATTTATATAAGCAGCGATGTAGACTTAAGTAAATACTGTGTATGAAAATGTAAATAGTTTTTGACTAATACATTAGTTTTCAGGTTGTTAAAAATTTTCAGTTTATAATCGGATGTAAACTGATGAACCTTCGCTTGACCGGATTCAAACATTCACTTTATCAAGGACTCGCAACGGTACTTTACTACAAAATATTTCCGTTGATACACCGAAATATAAGTTAATTTAAATGAAGTCAATGTTAATATTTCACGTTCCATTCGCCATACCTTACGCCCTCGCTTTAGACTGGCAACCTAAATAGTTGTGAGTGAACTTGACTACAGACTATTTTGCAACTATTTGCAATACGATATGTCCGCCACAATCCGTGGCGCCCATTGTAACGTGTTTGCAAAGCAAATATAAAATGATAAATAGAATCTAAATTAAAGTCATATTATTCTTTCAGTACTGGCTTATGTTTACTAAGTGCTTTTCTTTTAAACACGGTTTAACTCCACTGAAAGACCTATACAAAAATATCCTCTTACCTTTTTAAAGAGAATAAGAGCAACAATATCGCAGTGGAAACCCACGATAAGGATGAATATTTTAAAATCTTTTATAAAGTTATCCTTTCCGAGTCGGTTTCAATAATCGATTATTCACAGCCGAAGCAGGAATGCCGGAACAAAACCGGTTTTATAATTATCCTTCGTCGATCCGACTTCGTTGTAAGGTTTACGATTAGATAGGGTTCGATTAAATTTTCGGTTTGTAACGTGTTCAAATATTTTTAAAGCTCATTTTAATGGATTAACAACAATCACACACTTTTATTATAATCTCATGGCATATTTTAGCGACTGCAAAAATTGGGACAACGAATGTACTGATCCAGAATGCCATAAAATTAAAATACTTAATCTTCCAATAAAATATAATTCAAAACACTTTTTTTTTAATTTTTAGTATTACAATTCATCCTGTATCTACGTTGTTTGTTAGTAATATGTAGGTATTTGTTCTAAAATTGCTGACGTGTTTGTTTTATTTCAGTCGTACGTGACGAGTAACACGGACAACTCTCAGGCGATACTGGAGAGTCTCAACAACAAGTATTACTTCTACACACGAACCCGCGGCCTCTTCCGAGTCTGCTACCCCAAGGAGAGACCGCCTACAGGTTAGTTTGCGTTTTTAATAAAGTCTGACACAGATGCAAACAGTTGGAATGATAGGCATTTTAATCGGCGACAATGATGTTTCCGTTGACATTTTAAAGTTTATATATGGGGACCCTAGAGCGTCTATCTTTGTTTTCGTGAGCTATCTTTTGTTTTGGTTCCATATAGCTTTGTTATCTATACAGTGTTTTGTTTCGATTTCAATTTTACTATCGACTATCCTCAGTGTTTTGTGTGATACATTTCCGACAACATTTAACTCTTTTTTTAATGTAAAAAATAAGTAAATAAACATAACTAGCATGTAACCAATACTTGATAATATAAGTAAATAACAAATATAGTTTTCCTTGTAATAAAAACAATTTAGATGTTACCAAGAATTAATAATCATCGTTCCAATTAACCAATGGTTTTACAATAACACGTAAACCATAGTGTTTATTCTAATTATTAAGTTGCATGTTAATTACTCAAGCTATTGGAGTGTATAATGAGGTTTACAATATGTATTGCTAATTTAAACTTTATGATTACTGACATAAAGTTCCTTTTCCTAGATGTACTCCATGTTTAACAATATAGTTTAGTGTATGAAATGTGAACTGTATTTGTAACAGTGGTATTTTAATATTTGATGCTTTGTACTTTTTTATATAACTATTAGCTGTCGCCCGCGACTCCGTCCGCGCGGGATTGAAAATAGATGTTGGCTGGTTCTCAGACCTACTCAATATGCTCACAAAATTTTATAAGAATCGGACAAACCGGAGTATGGGAACGAAGATTGTGACTCGAGAATTTTATATATAAGATATTAGGAAAGAAAATAACTATCATAATTTTACATAGACCAGATATTGTATTTGTCTTCAATCAAATCTTCAAAATAATCTTTTAGGTTCATTATTCTAAATTAAATATGTTTTTCAACAAATATTTTAAAAAACTCAAGAAGTTAAAAATTTGTATCAAAACACGGAAGTCAAATGCATTAATGTTTTTAATTATTCATGCCGTTAGTGCTACTTTCGTTTTTTTTTAAAGATTTTTTCGTTTCGTATGTGAGATGGCTATAGTTTCACCGCAAACCGGTGTGAAAGGTACACAGAGTAAGCGATTCTAAAGAGCCGTTGTCTATTTCTGAGCGTAGAAAATTACACATCATCAATAGGCGGAGTACACTCTGATTACTCTACACTATCCTCAGGGCAGGTATTTAAATCTTGTAGACGATTGAATACATTGTAATTTAAGCTTAGATGTCTAGAACATAAAGTTTAAATTCCCGTATTGTGTTAACCATGTCCTTTTCATATTACCATACATTGAGTATTGGAAAGTTAATTGAGTTTCAATAGGTTTTTCATTTGTTTTCAAGGCTCGTACGCGGCTTACATTGGTTACCATAATTTGGATATGTATTTTCAATACTGATGGAAGGTCTAGGCCATACGAGGTCGTTGTGCGCTACTTTTCCTTTTCCTATAGACTAATGAGACACTTAAATTCATTCGTCATAACTACGCGGAATGATGAGACTTACCGTGGGTTTTTCATACCAACATTTTTGTTTCTAAAATATTTAGATATCTCTGTGTTGTCAAAGATTTTCAGATATCAGGGATGACGATATATGTTTTATATAAAGATTTTTGTCCCCGAAACTAATCTTCACTCAGCTTTTTATAGCCTACCTAGGATTAAATGCTTCATTTTCTTGCTGTGAACATAGCTGCTCAATTTTTTAAAGGAACAAACCATGTCCATATCAAATCAATGCCACGTTCATAATAAAACTGGTGCCTTTCGGTACTAACAGTAACTCTAACTCTAAAGGCCGACAGTATTTAACTGTGACGGATTCCTATTCTAAAATATTTCGCACATCCAGAAAACCAGAAGTTATACATGCGCATATAGTATTACAATGTATAAATAGAAACGTGATGAATTCTTTATTAGTTGTCAAGGTTTGACGTTACATATGGATATGTCACGTTCGGATACGATAAATGAATATGCAAATATTGACCCAGCATTTGCCTTCAGCCTTCCTTATCATATTATAGAAGATCGCTCATTGTTCGACACTCACCTTCAATATTATTGCATCTTACCAACTTTATATAGATCTATAGCTTATCTTGCTTCTTATAACTGCGAATATTTGAATCTATGGATCGATGTTTCTTAGAAGGAATCTCCAGACTGGCTCTACGGGTCTCGATGAAATGCGCCGTAGATATAGAACATAATCTGGAAGAACACATAAGCTATTAAATAAGTGTTGTCTTTTATTGCGCACGAACCGAGTTTTTTTTTTAGAAAGATTAAATTTAATTTCAGTTTTGTTTGCTTTGAGCCTAAATATTTCTATTTACCTGAACTCACAAAGTAATGTCTAGGTCGTATGGTATCGGCATTGACGCTAATTATTTTGTATAGTTTACCTTGTCACAGTTTAATTATCAATTTCACACTACTCTGTTAACGTTAGAGTGTATTTCCTTATAATTTAATTAACAAGCAACCTTAATAGAACACATCCGTTCTTTTTAACGTAACCGAATCATCGACCTTCATACATTTTCGCTTATCTTATTTTTAATTCCCAACAAGAAATGAGTTTATTTTTTCTTAACGGCCAGCAACGCATCTGCAAGTTCTCTAAAGTTGCTAAATAAAAGTGAAGTAAGGATTGGAAAAACAATTGAAAAATCTTAGAAAGTGCCAAAGATTTATATACTTTGAGATTGTCGCCTACAGATTTATGTACTTTGAGGTTGTCGCCTACAGATTTTCTTAAAGTAAGGTCACAGCCTTGACCTCCAAATAACTTTTGTTATGACACTTTTCATCGATCACACGATCACAATAAGGTCTTGTATTACACAAATGTAGACAAAAGATTTTCATTTTAATATGTTTTAAAGGCATATAAAAACATAATTTGAATACACACTGTATAATTTAATCGTATTTATTCCGGGTGATTTTGTATATAATTTTATCATGGAATTATTTGAAATAAGGTACATGGCTAAAATACGACATTCATACATTTTTCTTTTTACATTAACTTACTAAATTATTAATTTTATTTACGCAATCCTGAAATACAATGCTACGGTAAATTTCGATACGTCACGTAGCAGTTGTTTTTTTTTAATTTTAACCTAATGAGTCACCAGTTTTTGATAGATATTAGTTAAGCAATGTTGTCAAATGCCATCATATTTTTTATACATCAATGTTTTAAGTCGAAAGGTTAGTACTCGTGTAGCATCTAAAGGTTACTTATCAATTTGGATAAAATCATTAGTAAAATGAGAATATAATAGCGGTAATTTTATTTAACCTTGAAATTTACAAATATTCAAAGCTTTTTTTGATGTGATAATAATTATGTCTTTAAAATATAACTTCTTAGCGGTTGTCTAGTTTTTAATTTAAGTATTTAGACATTACTAGTTAAAATCGTTTGGCGCGAATGGCGCGCTTTCGTTACGCCAAGTGTCAGAATGATTAGTGACGGGACATAAACGTCGACATTTTAGTAAGACTAGTGTTGCGCCATAAACAGGCTCAGTGTCGGATTTTCTTCCTAATAATTGAATAAAAAATTGTATGGCATTTATGTGACTGTCTATCTAGTAATACTTCATGTGACATTACATCACGCAAAATGTTAATAAACATAAGGAACTAACTCTATTTACCAATGTCAGAATCACACGTAGCAATTATTAACTTGTAGCCTTGTAGTATTAAGCCACGCAATTTATGTGTCGGCTTCTTTAAATTGCTTTCGTAATGTCAAATTAATGAATCAAACTGTCAAAACTGGCTGTCAATAAATGTGTGTATGTGTGCTGCATGTGTGTGCGTTTGTATGTGAAATCCACATTGTTATTCGTTGGCAATTCACTTGTTGGGCAACACTGGATTAAGTGCTTGTTGTCTCGCACCATTTAATGTCTGCGAATCATGCAAGAACATTTGTAAATCAAATCTTTTGTATTGATTTTTAACTTCATTGTATGAGAACACGTTAATATAGCACCATGATTATTATTTACTTAAATCTCTAGTAAACTTAGACTTGAATGGCCTAATTCTTTCTTAAACTGGTTAGCTTTTGCATAAACCACTTCCATGTTCAATTTTATCCAAGTGACAGATTTATCAGCTGATAAATCTAATATTTGATTATTCAAAAATGAATCATCCGTCAACTTGTGTTAAACAGGAATGACCATCACAAAAACTAGACCGGAGCAATTACCATCGATCATACATCGATTCCACCGGACACGATTCTCGATTACAAATCATTCGGTCCGCGTTACTTTCTCGATTAAGTGTGGCGATATTTAGCATCGATGGCGCTTCTGCAGGTGAAATCGCCGTTCCACAAAGCACGACCGGTCTCCAACCCGTGTGACAACATCGTGTGAATCTTTATCTGTTAAATGATGTGCTCTTACTGCGTTTGTTTTTTTTTAAATTCAGAATACGGAAAGACAAAGGTCATGATATCAAAATGCCACTTCAAAGTAACTTAAAAGTTTGATGATTAATAAAATTGCAATATTCTTAAAATCGCAATGGATTCCAATATATTCTAGTAATTATTAACATTTGTATTCTACAATCAAACATTGTAATTAACATTGTTAATCAAGGTTGTTTTTTTAAATGATGTTTAATACCGCTAAGCTTGTTAGTTAAAAATATTGCAACCTAATACATGTACCGTTCTCATATTAAGGTTTAGAACTGTCTTTTGTGTTCTCATGTTACTAAGCATTCATAACCTAGACGAACGTTACTGGATATTGCATAAAACCGGAGATATACGATTCTTTGTTTACCTTGCCACACGTATAACTGATGACTTAGTAACAAACGAAGTCAAAACGTGTGAAACTAATTTGCAAATGCATTTATATTTTTGATACAGTCATTAATTTGAGATATATTAGTGAAATATTTT